TTCCAATCTTTCTGGTTGATTCATTTCCTCTCCCCTATGCAAAACCCTTTGTAGATGCTCAAATTACCGGAACAGCTAATTACCGATGTGCTTGATCGGCTCGAGCCAGAAGAGCTGGTCACGCTCCAGAGGACGACAAAGACATTCCGGTGGGTTCGAGCCTCCCAAGTAATGCGCTAATCTTTAAAGGGCACGTTCAGGGACGTCCTTGGGCAAGAACGCAAAGGTTTTTGCCGCGGCCCGGGGGTCGAACCCGAGCCTCCCGATCGGGAGACGCGGTCGCATACCAATTAACCACAGGTGCAACCTGGCGAAGGGCCGAGGGGCGCCCCACCCCGGAAAGGAAGGGAACTGCCTGCCACGGCACGGGCAGTCAGTGCGCGCGGTCCCAACGTCCATAGGGCGTACACGTTGGGACGAGTACACGGCCCCTCCCTGAACGTGCGCTTTAACGATTTATTTTTGCATTAGACGCCGAATTAACCGTCGCGGATTGTTTCCGGGTCGCGTCGATGCCCTATATATTCATGGTCAAGCGCTGAAAGGCAAGCGGAAAAGGGTGGGTCGTATTTACAGCATGCTTTTTTGGAGGCCACCTTTTTGTACATCTGACTGGAGAACTGGAATCGATGTTTAGGTTTCGCTGAAGACGTTCGAGCTCGGAGTGGAGAGCCGCGGGGGAACGGTGATACTCGCCCACAACCAGCGCCGCAGCATTTACCATCAACGCGACAAAAAGTGAGTCTGTCGCGAAAAAGCCGGCCGCCCTCTCACTGCAAAGTAAAATTCGATTTGGGACCCAGCCTATCTTGCGCTGGATTTTTTGCTGATTCCGGTCGTCTGAAAATCCAGTACATTTTTTTTGGAGGACTTCAGACCTATTTCTGGGGTAGAAGGATCTGTTTTTTCGAATGAGCCAGATCACTAACCCGTATCACAAAGCTCGTGAGAAAAGTTTGTTTTTTTGTCGGGTTGGCATCGAGGACGAAAAGGACTGGGACGGCAAGTTTTGCAAAATTTGGTCCAATTAGAAGAATTTTGAGATTTACATTTTGAAATAGGAGATAGTTTTGAGAAGGCTTTGACTAAAAATCATCCCCGCACCCGTTAGCCTTCAAGTCCAGTTCATTCCGGGCCAATGGCTTCGTCTAGTTTCTACAACTTCAGGGTATCATGCGATGCAGAAATGAGCGACGATGATGAGGATCATCAACGGAAATGCCGCTTTTTAAAAACGGAACACAGGTCAGCTTAATTCATTAACCCCTTAATGTTCGCCATCAACAGGGAGTATCCGATTCGACATCGACGCTTTTTCCACCGTCTTTTGCGGCTGCTAAAGAACATCCGTACCGTCCGTTATTTGTCGCTAGACATCGAGAATTATTATCGTCCAAAATGCGGGCAAGATTCCTTTAAAACGTTGCCGTTTCCTCAGGAAAGAAACACAAAACAAGTTGGTTATCAAAATTTGTCAGCGAGAAAACAAGAAAACATTTGGAGAAAACAAGCAATTTTATAAACTTTTGACCGCCACTTCCGTTTCAGCATACGATGAGGAGCCGATTCAGGAAACGGCTCGGCTTAAAAAAACAGCGTCTTCTCCAGGTTGGTCACCACGCGGATTATAAACATTGACTGATTGCCGTTGGGTTAAGAATCCAGAGATATTAGGTTGTGAAGGAAGCTCTTGCGGTTTTTGTTTTGAGGAGTTTTTTCGAAAACATCGTTGCTCTCGGAGCTTATTGTAATACCAGCCGATTACAGCCGCTTCGCGACTGTAATCGGCTGGCCTTCGGGCTACCCTCCATATTCTACACCACCACATTTCATCCCTACCTTACGCTGATGCCTTCATGGCAATACCTACACCGATCACCTCAGATACCTCCTCTAGCCACCCTCCCCCCCCGCCCCCCACAAAAACATAGCTGCCTTCCCGATGGATTCCGATACCCCCCATGGCTGGAATCCCCTTCAAAAACTACCTAAACACCGTCCTAATGGCTTCAGATACCCCCCTCAAAAGCCCAACCCCCCTCAAAAACTACTTACAAGGAGTGTCCTTTTGGTGTCATCGGCAAAACGATTCGAGACCCAGCTCATTCGATAGAGAATTGAATTCTGAACAAGACTGTGTTGTTCATTTTTGCGGAATGGTTGTCCCTGATTTTATAGAAATAAAAAACCAAGCGCGAAACCTTAACAACTCGCTCCCCAAGCACCAATGTATGGGCGTCGCCGGCAGTTTTTTAATTTTCTAAAATCAGGGACAACCATTCCGCAAAAATGAACAACACAGCCTTGTTCAGAATTCAATTCTCTATCGAATGAGCGGGGTCTCGAATCGTTTTGCCGATGACACCAAAAGGACACTCCTGGTTAGATTCCATCCCGATACTTTAAATGATTTAAATAATGAATTAACATAATTAAAAAGTATTAAAAAGGATTAAAGTAACTTAAAAACCTATCTGGACGCGGGAAAGGGCCTGGTGAAGAGGGGCCGGGAAAAGGGGGCGTGGCCTGCCGGGAGAGGGGCCCCCACCCCTTTTACTAAGGAAAAAACTTTCAAAGTTAATTTTAATAATTTAAACTAAAAGTTTTTCATAATTTTTTTATCTGTTTGGGGGTTTCTGAGCACGTTCTATCCGAATCCGAAGAGACCTAAGCTCTAGCTCCTTTCCCCTTCGAGTTGAATCCGGGACACGACGGACGGACGGACGGACACCACTACTTTTTTATTATAGTTGATGTCATTTTGAAGAGCTTTTAATGCTCTACAAGCTGCTTATAGTGTCTTTGTCGTAAAATGTTTTTATGGTTTTTTTCACAAGGCTCCAAAGTTGGAACCAAAAAAATCTCCATTTTCTAGTTTGGCTCAAAACTCGGCTGAGAACCCTCGTAGAAACCTAATGACACTAAGGATTAAGCTCATCGAACACTACAGAACGTATTGGAAAAGTTTTTCTTGAAAATTCATTCAAGGAAGTGACAAGTCATCGAATTTTGGACCGTCGCGACAAGGCAACTTTTTCATAATTAATTAAAATTAATATTCTGCGTTCCAATTTGTTGGAAATGGGTTGGAAATCGGCACATAATTTATATGAAGGCCAGATAAAAGCTCCTGGCCCGCATCGCCGGCTTCTGCGATTGAGACTTCCCTTTGGTCGTCGAAAACGGCCAATATTTGACCAAAATTCGATTGATTGATGACTGATTAAATTTTGAAGAGAAACTTTTACAGTGTGTTATATAGTGCCCGATGAGCTAAATCGAGCTCTAGTATTATTGGGTTTCTACGAGGCTCCTCGGCCGAGTTTTAAGCCAAGCAAGAAAAGGAAGCTATTTTTTAGTACCAACTTTGGAGCCTTGTGAAAGAACTATGAAATTGTTTAGGACAAAGGCAATATAGAAATCCTGTAGAGCATTAAAAGCTCTTCAAAATGACATATTACAATGAACTCCCACGGCAACGATGATCTCGAAAAAACACCTCACAGCAAAAAACGGAAGAAATTTCTTTACAACCTAATAGTTCCGTAGAAATCTGCAATGTCGTTGGCAAGCCTGATTTTTAGTATGTGACTTGGAGGACGGGTCTGCGAAAGAGGGAAAAAGCTACAGCCCCGATCAAGGTACGACGCCTTCAAATTACAACTGGGGCAAGATTTCGTTTTCGTACAGGGCGTCCCAATAAAAAACACCCCCCCCCCCTCTAACTGGATCGGATCGTATGCAACCCCGAAAGTCAGAAAATTTTTGCAAAATAGCTTCTAAGATAGCGGGTTTCAATAAAACATGGTTTTTTGAAGATTGCTACAAACTCGTCGTTTCAAGCGCTTTCAAATGGTATACCTATCGTTCCGATCCGATACATCTGCGTCGAGTTAGAGCGGGGTGTTTTTTTATTGGGTCATCCTGAATACGGTGTCAGTTAATACGTCCTTTAGATGAAGCCGGTCCTCCGTCGAATAATGAACGTCGGTTCGTGCGATTACGTCGTGTCCTCAAACCATCTATTCCCGAGAATCAGAAGTTTGCTCGGTGGAAGACCCGATTGTTGTTATATCGACGAGGTAATAGATTTTGCAATAATGTTACTGAAAGAAATAAAAAGAAAATTTAAAGCAGGCTCAGTGGCGTAGCTAACCACAAGTTTCGGCGCGGGGGGGGGCAGCGACATTTCGGAGGGGGCAGCCAGAAAATGTTTTCGAAATTTAAGCGCCGCAGGCGAAAAAATGTCGCTGAAATAGCGTCGCCGCAGGCTAAAAAAATGAATAAAAAGCAATATAAACTGCGCCGCACGCGAAAAATTTTTCAAGCTGGGCAGCCTGCCCCCCCCGCTACGCGCGTGAGCGGGATCTTCAGCAGATTTGGAAAACAGATTCGGAATCAGCGGAAATTTTTGCACGAGATAGGCTAGGTCCCGAGTGGAATTTCCATCTTTTGTGAAAACAGTCTAGAGTGAGCGTAGATAGGAAACATAAAGCAGTGTCTTAAGCGGACTAACATAATTCGGAATAAACCATGAACCACGATATTACTCGGTTCAGTTCGATCTACCAATGGACTTCTTCACGGATGATGTGGTGAGTTGAAGGAGTCTTTCAGGGCTAACTAGAGTTGTTATTCGACCCGGGTCGAAATGGTCGAAACTTTTGTAGGCTCCCGCAGCGAAAACTTTGTAAAATTCATAACTTTTTTCTATAATAGAATTCCGCGATTTCGCCTTCATTTTTGATTCTGTGAGATCATTTCCTACATTTTGAGTCCTTAAACTATAAGTTTTCATGCTAGAATCACAAACAATGGCACACCATGGCAGGGGGAAGTGGTTCCAAGAAATGGCCGTGCGCGGAACAAGGCAAGCAAGCCGTTCTTTATGATTCCAGCGTGAAAACTATAGTTTAAGGACTCAAAATGTAGGAACTGATCTCACAGAATCAAAAATGAAGACGAAATAGCGGAATTCTACTTTAGAAAAAAGTTATGAATTTTACAAAGTTTTCGCTGCGGGAGCCTACAAAAGTTTCGACCATTTCGACCCGGATCAAATAACAACTCTAGGGCTAACCCAATTTTAGAACCAACAGCTGCTATCGAATTGCCAGATAGAATGTGAAAAATGGCCGGGGAAGGCCGTAGTATGGATGCAGGAAATCGAAGAGGCATTCGATTTTTTGGCTGTAAGCAGGAAATAATATTTTATTACCATAAAATCCCGAGTATAGTTCCCTTCCGAGTATAGTTTCGGGTGAAACGTACGTATCGTTCGTAATTCCGTATGACCGTAAATAAGCGTGTTTCGTTTTTCGGTTTCTTGCAAATAACTCCATTCACGGAAGGTATTTTTGCAATTTCGGTTCAAGATTTGCTCAAATTTCGACTATTTCTGGCATAGAGTGGTTTAATAAAAGAAATTGATGCAGGAAATCCTAAGAACCGATCCTTTTGGCCCAGGTAGCTTTTGCCGGCGAGAGGGCGAGGGCGCACCTTATTAGAACGTCATTTGTATTAGTACGTCGCTAAAATGTCGCGGAACTATACTAGAGATTTTAGGGTAATTGGTTGATGGCTGAATTTTCATTACCAGATAGGCGTTGTTGATAGGATTTGACTAGAAAAAGATCCTTACAGAAATTGTTGCAACGTCCGAATGAAGAGCGTCGCCCAGGATTCTTGTATACGTTTGTGGGATACGATTCTAGCACTAAAGGTCCCGAGAAATTCGCCAAGAAGATACAAGTAAGAGTTTTTTTGTAAGCGAAGTAATTCTCTATAGCGCTAATCGCGCTAATTCTCTATTGATATATTTATCCAACAAGCAGTGAAAAAAGACCGCTTCGCGGCCCTTTCCCGCGGGACCCCGTCCAGGAACCATGAATTTGAATACCTTTTTTTCGCCTGCGGCCCAAGAACCTGATCCAAGGATTCTTTGGCCTGCCGCGCCAGAGCCAGCATTGCGCTAGAATCTTTAAAGTGATAACGACGGCATAAGTAATCGGTGACACGAGGGAAAGAAAATGTCTCTGCGTCTCGCCCTTGCGTGCGTTCTCTGCCCTGTTGGCTATGTGCCAAAAAGTCGATCAGGGGTGATCGACATATGCCGTCGATATCCCTTTAAGCCTGCGGCGCTAGTTACTGGTTTTTCTCCAGGATCTGTCCTGCGGCGCTAGAGCTCGGGCCAAGGACCTTTTCTTTAGCCTGCTGCGCTAGAACGGGAGCCAGGCCTCAACCTCGCACACCAAGTGCCTAGAAATATGTCTTGCTGCTGAACTACCAAAAAGCAAAAAATCAAATCCTCCCAAGGGCCGAACTCACGACACTGCGCGTGCCAGACCGGGCGCTAATCCACTACATCACGGGGGTGGATGTGACCGGGCAGGGGGAAAAACCCCTTCTCTCCTGGGGAGGGGGCGGGGCAAAGAAAAGGCGGACCAATGATCCCAATAGGGGAGAGCTCTGGTCACTTTACAAGATTCCATGTTTGGGTCTGAATACGCTAAAAATTTGTAAAGAAAATAAGATGCGCGTGATCCCCACTATCGAATACATAATTGGCCCAAATCACCGCCCAAAATTGCCACTGGGCTTCGAGTTATGCCCCCGAACACCACCGCCTGTCGCCCACGTTGTTAAGGATTTTTCACTTTTTTGCTTGTAAAATCGTTAAATGAAGGACTTTCGAAAAATCCAAAAAACCCTTTGTTATGAATGGCATTTCCCGCCCCCAGGCCAAAAATCAGGCAGAAACTCGGCCTGACGGCCGAGAAGAAGGCCGTACAGGAAACACACATGCTTTTGTCGCTTATAGGATAGGATATGCTGCTAATGCAGTTTGTATCAAAATGAATGCGGCGTAATTGGGCGAATGAGCAAACGGTGATAACCCTGGGTTTAGAAGAAGGTGGCAAGGGACGCACCTGGCTTTGTGGAAATGGAATGGCCGGAAGACAACGATGCGATGGCGGAGGTTCAAGAAGCGTTTCGGAGATATGTGCCAGTGAGCAAGAAGCCGATCAGTGTCGAGCGAGATAGGCAATTTTTGAAAAAAGAAGTGAGTGTTTGATTACAAGCCGGTTCTTCCAGTTCAATGGGAAAATCCATTTTCATTTGGACTATTTTTCATGCACTCTTTAGATTTAAAAACTGTGTAATGGGCTATAAAAAATGTCACAAATTACTGAAAAAACAATTCATCCCCCCGTCAAATGGGCTCTGAAATCGGGTCCAAGCGCCTAGCGTTGATTCCTGGCAAAATGGCCAGATTCGCCCGCGGCGCGACCGCGCCGCATGATCTTTTGCTGCAGTTTCAGCGTCAAAACGCTCGAATTTTAAATTCTCACGTTATTTCTGTAATCCTCATCGGACTTTGATCTTCTTGAACCTTTTAATTATGAAAATTGATCTGAGAATCGCCGAGATCGAGAGATTTGGTGCCTTACAAGACATTACGACATGTAATCGCCGCGCAATCAAAAAGGCGTTTTCGCCCCAAGAACGTTTCGGTTTTAGTCAAATAATTTACGTTTTCCCGTAATGAAATCACTTTTCTGGTGCTTCTCGGCAGTAACGCTTTCGTTTTTTTTGACCAGTAAGCTCAACCACGTGTCTTAGAGCGCGCACGGGGGGTGCGACGGGCATGGCCTAGTGGTCTAAGGCGGCGGCAGGCGCGGGGTGCTGGTTCGATTTCTCGCCTCGCCTAAAGACGCGACACCGTTTTGCTTTTTTTTGGCAAAACGTTTCTAAAGCACCGACAATAAATCTTTAGCGAATTCCAGGTAGAAAATTGGGCAGATGCGACGGTCGCGAGGCCGTAACCAGAAAATCGTCTTGATTTTTGCTTCAAAACGTTTCAAGTCTTAATTTTTCCCGGCGATCGCCAAGATTCTTTGACCAAAATGTTCCCTAGAGTCTTCTCTATCGATCGCCAGGTGGAATATTTGTAATTTTTCTCGAAAAAAAGTTATAGCCTTTAGAAAGCTTTTTCTCATACATTTTGGGGGCCAAAAAGGGGCGTGGCCTAGCCCAGTCCCTCCCGTCCCCTCGTGCGCGCTCCAAGTAAGGCCTAAGACGCCGTGGCAACCCCTCAACCCCCCGCAAAAAACCAGCAGAACTTACGATTTTATTACAGCAGTAAATCAAATCATCTTTCCAGAAACTCGGGCCCGTATTCTCGTGCAACTTCTATCGCGAGGCCGGGTGCAGTGCAGGTAGGTTGTAATATTTGCTGGGCAGCCGGAATTTAAAATCTCCATTCTTCGAAGCCGTTAAAATCGAACCGCAGCGTCATACTATTTACCTATGTATATGTATAACTTTACCTGTATAACATACAATCCTTCTTGGAGATACAGGGTGTCCCAAACCCCCCGTCTCGGCATTTGGGCGCCTTTGATCGGGTCGGGACCAGATTTTCACCAACGATGGAGTCCATAGAAACTACCTGCAGCCAAATTTTTTAAGCAAAATATTCTGAAAGAAAAAGTTATAACTAAAAACTTATTTTTTTGCAAATGTTGTGGCCGGTTTTTTGTTTGTTGTCAATGTTTTCGCAATTAGCATGCCGATTTTGAATCAGATGCCGATGGTCCTCCTTGCGTCGGGTTCCGCCGATTTGATAATAAAAACTAACAATTTTTGCTTAATAATTCGAGATCGACAACGGACAAAATCCCAGTGAGATTGGCAAAATAAACCTTAATTTTTGCATAAGCTTTTTGTTTTTCGATATCTTACGTGCAAATTTTGGCTGCGAATAGTTTTTATGGGTTCCCATCGCTGGTAAAACTTTGGTCTCGATCCGAAAGATGATGGTCAAAGACCGACGGGTTTTTTAGGACACTGTAGTGCTGCGCCCCAAACTTGAAATTCAGGATTGACGATCATGGTGACTGTCCACCTGGTGCATGGCGCTGATGGGAAAGCGTATATGGGAAAATACAACTATGATGTCGCAATCACCGTGATGGACAACACCCACCACGAATGAACTCAGATTTTGCAAAGCTTCTTTGCTAAATGGTTCAAAATAAAAGTTTGTTTCCACTGAACCTTGGTTTTTAGAACCCCTTTCCTTCGGAAAACCACAAAAATTTTGAGCAGAGATGCAAAAAGATATTTAAAATGCTTAATGCGTACTTTCAGGCCGGCAGCCGGCGTACCGTAGATTTTAAGTTACGGCAAAAATACTGTTTTTAGATTATGCCTTCATTAAAATAGCAATTGCTTGTGTGTAAATATTTCAAAACAAATGCAGTGTAGACGTGTTTATCCAAATAACAATGTTTGCGGAAACCCTTTATTCCACGGTGTACAAATCACAGATTCGCTTTGACAAAAGCGTTGAAGCCAATCACCATGACCAGCAGATTTTCTCTATGCAATAGGGCGGCGCGCCTCTGGCTGGTGTTATGGCTGGAGGCGCGGCTCGCGGTTGCGTCTTCTCTCATGCTCACGCGTCGTCGTCGTCGCCCGTTTTCTTCCTACAAAATTCGGCTTTAGAAGTTGTTAAAGCGAAGAGGAGCCAACTTATGGTTTTTCACAACAAGTTTTGCGTGCTGCGCAATTAATTAGTTTTCTTTCGTTTTTTTTTAGTAGTTTGAAATTGCTGGAAAATTCTAAAAACATTTTTAGAATACAACACAACACAACAAAGTCAAAAATTTTCGTAAACTGTTATTATTTTTTACATTTTTATATAAAAAAAACGAGAACCCAAAAACCCAAAAACAGAACCCAAAAACGAGGTGAATGCTAGAAAACTGGTTAATATGATGTTATTTCGTTTCTGTACGGAATTACTAGGGAAGATTTCGTCCCCCCCCCCGCTAACAGTCCAGAACTCATTTTTGATCAAAAGCGGAGACCCGACAATCTTTTTCAACGCTTCAATAAAAGTGTATTGGCCCTAAAAAACCATTTAGGATTTAAAAATGTTCCATTTTAATAGGAGGGTCATTTGACAAAAGAAGTTAGAGGGTGTGGATTTCTTTTGGAGAAAAAGGGCGTACTTGGACGAGTCGTGCTTGCGAGAATGCGAATCCATCTCCTCATCATCATCATCATCGTCGTCCTTTTCCGGCCGTCCGAATCGAATATAACAGGCGACGGCTATTGCGATGGCCGTCAACCCGTTGACGCTGCAGGCGAGGACGAAGCTGACCAATGCCCAGGGTTCCGGAACAGTAAGCCGGTCGAGAAACCCTTCTGGAGCCGGGGTTGTTGCGGTGGGTTTTGTTGACTGGCTGTCCGCGGAGGTTCGGCAGAATTTCTCAAAATGAGAAGGCAGTATTTTTCTGTGAAAATGGCCGGATACCTGATTCGGATCGACCTCACTGCAAATGGGCAACTTGGTGACGGTCAGCGATTCGTGGCCCAGTTCCTTGTAGAAGGGGTTCTTGTCGCAATCAAGCAGTTCGTCGGCTTGTACGATGGCCTTCTGATCGGCCTGGAAAAGGGTATTGGTTCATTAGCGGGGGGTGAGGTTTTGGTTCTGGGCTGTTAGCAGGGGGACCATTTTTTGTTTTCGACCTATATGTACGGATTTCGATAACGATATTTTTCCTTCGATTAGGATAACGGATTTTCAATGTGTGTTTACGGTTTTGAATAACATCATGACGGATGTTCTAAAAAACTTCTGAAAATCCGAAAATTTTGCCCTCTTTTTGACCATTTTTTATTTTTACTATTTTTTTTTATGTCTAAAAACTATGTAAAGTGCATTATCTGGCTATAACATTGTTGAAAAACAAATTTTTTTGGACAAAAATGTTTGAAAAATAACCAAATCTCAGAAATAAAGACAATCGCATACCGGCAACCCGTCGGTCTTGATGCAGCGTGGATAGGAGACGGCTGGAAGTGCGGAACCCTGACGCTTGAGACGATCTCCGTGTTGTGCTTCTGCCTTCTCCTTGTCGACGGAGGTCTATAAACTATGTCTCCAGCCTCAGGAAAAGTAGAACCTGCTCGGCAGGGGTTTCGGGAACTTTTAGACTCTGCCAGAGGTCGATCGTCTCTTCCTCGCTCTTCAACGAGGCGTACGGGCCCGACTGGAATTCAGAAAATTAGTGTGAAGAGAGAGAGAGAGAGAGAGAGAGAGAGAGAGAGAGAGAGAGAGTGATTTACCAGTGCCCGACGAAGCGCGTAGGATGGAGGGGAGCCCTTCGGATCGCTGATATCCAAGAGGACACAGGCTTCCGGGGGATATTTTCCATCAGGGCGCGGGAACACGCACTGCTCGTCACATTCTGTTGACATTTTGGTCACGCTCCCTTCTCCAGGATAGAACTTTCTAAACAAGATTCTATAGGTGGTGAAAACGAACATGGCTTGTGGGTCAGGCATGCAGAGATGCATCGGGTCACACTTTTCACCAGCTTGACGACCGCCCTTCGGACAGTACTAAATATTAATAGACTTTTAGTCGTGCTTGACTTTCTACCTTGGGCTGCAGTGGATCGAAGACGTCGTAGGGGTTGTTCTCGAGTGGTGTTTTATCCGTCTGCAGGTATCCGGCTGCCAACTGAAGGCTTGGAATGCACGTCTCCCTGAGTTTTCTGTCCGCAGCAGCAGCAGCAAGTACAATTCTAAACAGAGAACATATGAGCTTTTCCTATAAGTAGGTTCATCGGATGCCAAGACACTCACTGCGGGATGACAAAGCCAGCATCGCATTGCAGAAAGTATTGCGTCGTATGCGGGATTGAAGCAGGTGTGTAGGGGTTGGTGCTTCTAAAGGTTGAATCATGACAGCACCTGGAATGATCACCCACAGACTTTTCCCTTCACATTTCCCAGAGGCCACCATCTCGCGTGTGCACAAGTTGAAGGGAAAGTAGATAGTATCTAAATGAAATACCGTATTCGAAATATTCGCTCGAATGTCCAGGTTCGGCTAGCAGATAAAATTTGAGCAAATATCGCTACCCTTGATTTCAGCAACCTTGATGGGAGCAATACAATCGTCTTGTGCGGCTGCCTTTGGCTGAAATAAGTGACATAAAAGGCAAGGGATTCACGTAACGTACGCAGAATTTAGGACGGCAGCGCTTGGTTTGGGATCTTTCCCCTAGGCTGGCAGCAGAGGCAAATGCATAGTCTTCACCGCAGACGTTTGTCGTCGCCACGGCGCAGAGTGCACACTGAATGCTGATCATGATCCATCATCATATCCTATACGCGAGAAAAGTATGCTGGTTTTCTATACAGCCGATTTCTCGGCCGTCACGGCGAATTTCGGTCTGTTTTCTAGCATGGAGGTGCAGAAAAACATTTGTAAGTGATGAATTTTTTTATTTGACGAAATTCCTTTATTTAACAATTTTACAAACCAAGTAGTGGGCAATCCTTAACATTTTTCTCCAAAAAACGGTATGTCCGGAGGTTTTACGACCGCCAAGAGGAGTTGGGCTCTGATTTTTGAAGGGTGAGTGGTAAAAGCAATCCTTCCAATACTACTTTTTGGATTTTGCCAAATTTCTTAAAATAATGTTTTTATAACATTTTTTTCTGAAAGGTCCTTAACAAAATGGGCCAAGAGCCGCGGTGTCCGGGGCATAACTCGAAGCCCCGATGGAATTTCGGGCTGTAATTTGGAGTACTTAGTGTGTATTTGTTGGTGCCTTTAGGCGCAGCTTAGATGCCATTTTTTTTATTCGTTTAATGTAGAAAAACCTTCAAAACGAGTTAAAAAGGTGTTTCAAAAAGTCGAAAATTTGGCTATTTTGCGTCAAAAAAATCATTATTTCGACCTTCCAACGGAAATACCATTATAAAATTGTTACTTTACCAGCCGATTAGAGCCGCTTCGCGACTGTAATCTGCTGGCCTTCGGGCTACTCTGCATGTTCTACACCATCACATTACATCTCTACCTTCATCAATACCCACGCTGATCGCTTCAAATACCTAAAGTTAGATACCTTCCTGATGGCTTCAGATAACCCCCATAGCCGAAATCCCCTTCAAAAACTACCTAAATAACTTCCTGATGGCTTCAGATACATTAAATAATTTAAATAACGAATTAAATCAATAAAAAGTATTAAAAAGGTGTTAATAAACTGAAAAAAGAGCCTGGGGAAGAGGGGCTGGGGAAAGGGGGCGCGGCCTTCCGGGAGAGGGGCCTCCACCCGTTTTATTAAGGCGCCACTTTCAAAGTTAATTTTAATAATTGAAACCAAAACTTTCATAATTTTTTATCCGTTTCGAGGTTTCTGATCGCGCTCTATCCGAATCCGAAGAGAGCTAAGCTCTAGCTCCTTTCCTCTTCGAGTTGAATTCGGCTTCAGATAGACACACAGAGACCACAGCAAAATTATATAAGGTAGGATATTTTGCTGAGAAGCTTAATTTTAAAAATCCTACCTTATATAATTTTGGCGCGTATGTGTGTGTGTGTGTGTGGATGTCACTTTCGAGGCCCGATTTGAGGGCCTTCCCATGTCCAAAATGCTCTAATTCTCCGTCACCCGGGGGAATCGACCCTTCTATTTCCGATGGCGTTTTCAGAATTTCGATAAAATACAAGTTTACAAAGTTAAAGCCGGTTTTATTCATTTTTAGGGGTCCCTGAGGGCTAATTTGCATAATGCGGAAAAATACAAATTTCCTCATTCTTGCCAGTTGCACTCGCGTGTGTGGTCTGCGGGAGAAAGGGGTCCGCAGGGCCCGAGCTATCGGAAAGTCAAACCTATCATGCAAAGGCAGCATTCCAGCGCCCAAGGCCCGCGAAGCGGGTTTTGGGCGCTGGTCGTTTATAAATCAGTTTTTCGGCCTTAGTATAATTTTCGACACTCTCCGATGAAATTTCCAAAATGGCTGGATAGCTTTTGGAAATACAAAAGTTGTTTTCTCGGCTGTTTCTCCCCCCTGCCCCCTCCGTTAAGCAACCTATGCCGCAATTTCAACAACGGCGTTTCTGCGGACGAAATGAGAATCCGACCACCGATTCCCGAAATTGATTGACGAGATGGATTACCTTCGCCTCGTCCGCAATACTGGTATCGCCCAATTGCTTTAGCCATGGAGGGTAGTCTTCAGCGAGCTCGTCGAAGACGTAGCAAACAAACGGTCGATCTTTGGGGCACTAGAAAGATAAAACATCGAAACGCAAAGCCAGGCGCTCGTTACGGCGCCAATACCAACCGGCGTGCTCGCATCCCGGCGCTGACGGCCGATGCCAGCAAGTTGCGAGTCGTTGGCGCTCCTGCAAAACGGTATGTAAATTTTCCAAAGAAAATTACGCTCAGAAGTTGAAAAAGAAAAGCAAGGCGGGTGCTAACGCGCAACGGGGGGGGGGTAATCTGGTGCAAAGTTCGAAGACGCTTTAAACTACGTTTTTAACTTCGGAGCTTACTCTTACAATTAGGCCAGACCTAAACCCGACCTTGGTTTAATTAAAAATCAGACTACGGCTTACTTTGTGCCCCCCGACGGACGATTTTCGCTGACTATTTTATTTGTCATTATTTTAGACTCAATTTAAAGTCGTGGCATACTTTGCGACGCTCTATTGAAATGACGTTTAGAAAAATACCTTAAAAAATGGTGTAAAAATATCGAAAACGTTGGGGCCCTTCAGCTGAGGTCGGGGGGGGGGGTAAAATAAACTCTTATCGACATAAGGTCTAATAGGCCAAGCTTCAGCTAAGTTAAGCCCGCAGCAAGCCAACGAAATAAAAGTTTTTGTTTAGGGCAAACTAGGCTAACTACCTGAGATTAGACCTAAGCTGGAAGCCAATTCACGGCAGCGGAGTGTTTCGTAACCTTGGTCGGAGAAATTTTGGGTGCCCCCGGTTCTGCATTAGCACCGAAATATAAGAGTACCGGATCGGCGTGCCGACAACTGAAGAGATCAGCAGTGCGGAGACGAGCATCAGAAGTAGGCGATTTGAGACCCAATTGAACCCGTTCCGAGGTGAGTAGCCGGTTGGTTTGTGCTGGCCGTGGAGCATTTCGGTGCTGTAAAAAGTCAGATAGATCTGATTGTGAGAAGCTACTTACTATCGATGTAATTCATATTACGAATAACTCCAGATAACCCTCCAGCCGACCCCCGCCTACCGTATCTCGGCTCCTTGTTCATCCACAGGTGGGTAAAGTATACCAAAATACTCGCTAGGGCAAGACGAACATTTTGGTATACTTAACACACCTGTAGATGAACAGGGAGCCGAGATACAAAAGTTGGGGGCCGGCTGGGCGGGGGTATCTGGAGTCTTACCCGTAACTTTTATGCAAAGCGAAATTCCGACGCATGCCAAAGCAGGGAAAACAAAAAATGCATTCGCAAGGCTTATTGTAGGCCTTTCTCCCCGTCTGCCCACTTGGCGTCGCGGCGTAGTGGCTAGCATGCTGGGCTGTGGAACGGACCATCCCTGGTTCAACCCCCCGGGCGCTGCGAGCTTTTTTTGCTTTTTGTCAATTGCATCTTTCCAGACGGATTGAAAGCGGTGCAGCTATTCTAATTCTTTCTATAAAACAAAACGTTACATTGAAACTTTGGGAGAGATTCTGGACGAGTCGACGCGACGGTGGATGTAGCTTCAGATCCGAACGAAAAGCCGAAATCTCGACCGGGTTGAGGGACGGAAGGGAGGGAGACGGCGCCCGGGAGGGAAGTCGTGCAGAAATGATCGATTTCTGGAGCAAAATGGTTCCGTACTACAGATATTTAGTATTGGGATGCAAATTGCAAAGCAGATGCAAAAATGTGAATCAAGCAAGACGGATGTAAATGCACTGGGTGGTCCCCGAGATTGGCGGTGGGACCAAGCTGATCTTGCACAATCTGCCACGGCAAAAAAGACGGTGTCTTCAGAATTTCCCTAAAGGGGCTCGGAAGTCGAATGTCGTGCGCACGGTGGTTGAAACTACTGGTAAAAAACGAAAGGTTCACTGCCGAAAAGGCTCAGAAAAGTGACTTCGTTGCGAAAAACCGTAAAATACTTCAGTAAAACAGAAATTTTTCTCGGTGCGAAAACGCCTTTTTGAGTGCGCGACTATTACATGTCGTAATGTAATCGTCGCGTTATTTGTAAGGCACCAAATCGCTCGATCTCGGTGATTCTCTGATCATTTCATAATTAAAAGGCCTACAGGGTGTCCCAAAACCCCCCCCCCTCTAGCGGTCCGTGGGAAGCTCAGATCAGGATGATTTTTATACCATTCGAACGCCCGCGAAAAGGCGAGAAAACAAGCGGGCTTCATTTTCTAAGATTTATTCTGATTCGTCTGATATTCAGCGTTTTTCTAAAAAAACAGGTAGCTTTTCAATAGGAATTTCGCAGTTAGCATGCGGATCTCGCGTAACTCTGCTGTTTTCATGGATTTTGGCGGTAAAATTCGCCAATAAAAATACATAATAAAGAAAATGAACTCTTCTTGTTTTCTCGTCTTTTCGAGAGCTTTCGATAGATACCTAAACGGCGAGAATCGGACACGTCTGGGCGCCGCTAGAGGGGGGGGTTTGGGACACCCTGTATAATGATCAAAATTCGGTGAGGATTCCGGAAATAGCTTCAGAATTTTTAAATTCAAGCGTTGGCGCGTCCGAACAGGAGCAAAAGATCATGCGGCGGGTCGCGTTGCCGTCGCTTCTCGCTATTTGACAGACGCAGGGGGTCCGTGGACTAGATTTTCAGGTTAGAGTTCAGTTTATCCCCAAGCCCAGCTCCTCATAGGTCCTATTAATGCGCTGAATACCCCACAAGATTTGCCGTGGTCGAATTACTCTAAAAAAGTTGTTTTCTTCTACCAAAAATTGTTAGAAAATTTTTTTGCTTCGAAAAGCATACGTCATTAAAACCAGAACGCTTCTAAGCCGCAGTTTATGGACGAGCGAAGGTGGGCAATATTTTACCACCAAAAACAGAGTTCCATCGCACCAGAATAAGCATACCAACCCTCACCAAATTTTCAGTTTTGGAAAATTTTGAGTGGCGGGCTCATTCGATAGAAAAAATTTTTTGATCCAAATCAATCGAGCCCAAAGCTCCACGGTTTACGGCAAATAAGAGGTTAAAAGCTCCACAACTTTTAAACGAGGGCTAATTAGCAAACTTGGAAATTGTATTCGGAATCGGCAAAGATTCAACACAAGATCGGCTCGGTCCCGAGCCGAATTTCCATCCTGACCGAAACACTTTACCGTAAGTTATCGAAGTCGCGTTCACATTCCTACGTTGACAAGTCGTGCCATCATCTCTTCAGGCTCGTCCTTACACCCTTTTAGCCCTTAAACCGAGACCTTAAACTATTTATTCTGCGAGTACAAGAATGAGAAACGAGGATGAACCAATTACTTGTGTATCTCTGTAAATATGTCAATAACAACTGCAGTGTAGACGTGTTTATCCAAATAACAATATTTGCGGAAACCCTTTATTCCACCAGTGTACAAATCACAGATTCGCTTTGACAAAAGCGTTCAAGCCAATCACCATGACCAGCAAATTTTCTCTATGCAATAGGGCGGCGCGCCTCGAGCTGGTTGGAGCTGGAGGCGCGGCTCGCGGTTGCTTCTCCTCTCATGCTCACGCGTCGTCGTCGTCGCCCGACTCCTTCCTACAAAATTCAGTTATAGGGAATTTGAGTGGCTAAAGGGCTTGGACTGATGGTTTTTCCAAGAAGAATTGCCTGCCAGCAGCGCTTTTGACTGTTTTAAGAGAATTTTTGGTAATGTCGACTCGGTTTTTGGACAATTTTTCTCGGCGTCCATGTTTTTTTGTCAAGTTATCGAAAATTCGCAAATCGAAATGAATCGAAAATCTTGAAACTTTTGCAGAAAATTTTAAGCCAAATAGCAGAAACTATTAGAAAGGGATGGCTCTTTCGGGTTAACGGGGGTACACAATTTTTCCCAATAATTGCGGATTTGACAAAGAAAATGGGATGAGGCGAGAATGGGTAAACGGCTTACTTTTGCTTCTTGGGGGTGTGCGGCTTGCTCTTTTCCGGCTTTTCGCGCCGCGAGCGCCTCCACATGAAGGCGGCGATGCCCACGATCAACACGACGACGACGATCGCCACTACGATGATGATGACTGTCAGCAGTTTACCATCACCCTCAGTCGAGAGGCAGAATTTCTGAAAATGAAGAATAGCACTACTCCCAACGAAAAAGCACCCCTCCCTTTCTAAACTTTAATTTCCTTTGCACGATATTTACCGCTTTTCCAAAAAAAAAACGTAATGTTTCAATCATAATTTCGCAATTAGCATGCTTATCGAGATGCCACTTGCAAATCAGCAGTTTTCGTGGTTTTTGGACATAAAATTCGTGAATGAGCGCCGCGGGCCACTAGAGAGAGGTACTGTTTTTGGGGATACCCTGTAAAATGAGAAGGCAGTATTTTTCCGTGAAAATGACCGAATACCTGGTTCGGATCGACATCACTGCAAAGGGGCAACTTGGTGACGGACAGCGATTCGTGGCCCAGCTCCTTGTAGAAGGGGTTCTTGTCGCAATCAAGCAGCTCGTCGGCTTGTACGACGGCCTTCTGATCGGCCTGGAAAAGGTACTGGTCCTTTTGCGGGGGTGGGGTGGGGGAGGGGGTGTGGTTTTGGTTCTGGACTGTTAGCAGGGGTGGCGGGGGATTTTAGCGGCTCACTCCCAGGGGAGTGGGCTTGGCTTCGCCCCCCCCCCCGCCCCCCGCTAACGCACCAGAACCAAAAATTCTGAACTTTTGAAAATTTGGACGTGAATTGGCTATTTTCTTACATTTTTGTTCAAAAAGTCGTAAATTTTTCTATTTTCTCTATTGCTTTTACATCTAAAAACTATGTAAAGTTTTCGAGATTTCGCTATGTATTTGGAATTTTCTGAACGCGATTCGATAGAGCGTCAACAAAGCTACTAAGAGTTTAAATTTAAGCCAAAAAATCATGCAAAATAAAAAAGCCAAAACCTTCCCGCTAAACCGCCGCCTACCGGGAGACCATCGGTCTTGATGCAGCGCGGGTAGGAGACGGCTGGAAGTGCGGAACCCTGTCGTTTGAGACGATCTCCGTGTGGTGCTTCTGCCTTCTCCTTGTCGACGGATGTCTATAAACTATGGTCTCCAGCCTCAGGAAAAGTAGAACCTGCTCGGCCGGGGTTTCGGGAACTTTTAGACTCTGCCAGAGGTCGATCGTCTCTTCCTCGCTCTTCAACGAGGCGTACGGGCCCGACTGGAATCCAGAAAATTAGTGTGAAGAGAGAGAGAGAGAGAGAGAGAGAGAGAGAGGGAGAGACGGAGAGAGAACAAACATAGTGATTTACGATTGCCCCCCCATTAGTCATAAAACCATTAGTCATAGCCTCATTAGTCATAAACCCATTAGTCATAAACCCATTAGTCATAAATTCCATTAGTCATAAATTCCAATAGTCATAAACCTATTAGTCATAAATTCCGATAGTCATAAAACCGCTAGTCATAAATTTTTAGGAGGGTCAAACCGACTGTCACTGGCACAAATTTTCCCCTAACTGACTATTTTACCGAGTATCCATATGCTAAAAATTATGACTATTCAATTTATGACTAATGGAATTTATGACTAATGGGTTTATGACTAATGAGTTTATGACTACTGAGGTTATGACTATTGGTTTTATGACTAATGGATTCGCCCGTGATTTACCAGTGCCCGACGAAGCGTGTAGTATGGTGGGGAGCCGTTCGGATCACGGATATCCAAAAGGACACAGCTTTCCGGTGGGTATTTTCCATCGGGGCGCGGGAACACGCACTGCTCGTCACATTCGGTTGCTTTTTTGAAGAGATTTGCATCGCCGGAAAAAAACTTTCTAAACGAACATCACTGAGTGCTAAGACATAAAGCCTACATTGCGTTTGAGTTGGGCATGCAAAGATGAAGCGGGGCGCACTTTTCACCAGCTTGACGACCGCCCTTCGGACAATACTAAAAATCACATCCTTCCCCATTTAGTTTTTTTTAACCTTCGGATCCGTGGGATCGAAGACGCCGTAGGGGTTCTTTTCGAGTCCTGTTTGGTCCGTCTGCGCGTATCCGGCGGCCAGTTGAAGACTTGGGATGCACGTCTGTCGGACGTTGTTGTCCGCGGCGTGAGCAGCAAGTACTATTCTAAACAAAGCCTTTGTGATCGGCCTTTTTATAAATTGGTCCTCTGGATACCACAAATTTTACTAACTGTGGGATGACAAATCCGGCATCGCATTGGAGGAAGTATTGCGTCGTATGTGGCGTGAGACCAAGAGTATATGGTCGAGTGCTCCTGAAGGTTAACATTCTTCAAATTGTGGCCAACGATGACCTACAGACTCTTCCCCTCGCACAGCCCGGAGGCAACCATCTCGCGTGTACACAGGTTGAAGGGGAAGTACAGCGTCTCTAGAAACACGATTTTTAGCGGCCCGACACGATCCACCCACCCTTGTTGTCATTGATTTTGACGGGCGCGATACAATCGGCTGCTTCGGTCGCATCAGGCTTCTAGACAGGCTCTACACCAAAAAACCAATAAAACGTACGCAGAATTTTGGACGACATTTTTCGGTTCTCGCCCTCTCACCCGCAGCGATGTCAGCGATGAAGGTGGCCGTACCCAGGCATTCTTTGAACTTCTCGACGGAGCACGTTGCGCACTAAAAGTCCGGCAACTTGAATTGAATGACCGTTGAGGCTTAGCTTCATACAAACAACGCCTCAGCGTAGTTTAAGCCAAGCCAAGCTTAGCTTTAGGCTAAGCCCTAAAAGACCCATTTCGACCGCGTAAGGCAATTTAAAGCTCAAGACGAAATTAGTTTGCGCTTAAAGGGATGCCGACGGCATATTCAATCGGTTATGCGCTCGAAAGAAAATGTCTCTGCGCCTCACCCCCGGGCGCTTTCTGCCCTGTTGGCTACTTGCCAATTTTCCTTTTTTGATGGGGGGGGGGGGATCGACACATGCCGTCGGCAGCCCTTTAAGCTTAAGCCTTCGTCTAAGCATAGTTAAAGCTACTTTAAGCCTAAGCTTAAACTAAAAACCAAGCAGCTCAAGCGGAGCTTACTCTTAATACCAATTTCGGACTGCCCCCCTTTAACTGCATTAGCACCGGATAGGATATAGGGGTGCAAATGCAGTTAGGGGGGCAGTACGGATTTTGACTACAAGACGCTCCAAAAGCCGTTTTTGAAACTCTGAGCCAGAAAACAGAAAAAAAGACAAAACAGGAAAAGCCAATCGAAGCTTAAGCCTAGGCTTAGCTTCATACAAACGAAGCCTGAGCTTAGCTTAAGCCAAGCTAAGCTTGCCTCTAAGCCAAGCCCTAAATGACCCTATTTTCACCTTCTGAAGCAACTTAAAGCTTAATATGAGCTTAGCTTGGGATCAAGCTTAAGCCTAAACCGAAGTTAGGCCTAGTTTAAGCTAATTTAAGACTAAGCTTAAGCTAAAAACCAAACAGCTTAAGCGAGGCTTACTCTTAGTACTACCAATTTCGGATTGCCCCCCCCCCCGCTAACTGGATTAGCACCGGATAGGATATATATCGTTTTGCAAGCAAGTTCATTTCATTACCTTCATGTTGTCCTCATCACTGTCATCCCCAACTTTCTTCAGCCATGCCGGGTAGTCTTGGCCAAGTGCCTCATAGACGTAGCATACAAACGGGCGAAATTCCGGGCACTGTAAAGGAAGCCATTGAGGCGGGAGATACAGCAATCATCACCTTTGTATCACCATCCCTGCGTTGACGGTCGATGCCGGCGAGTTGCGAGTCGGTGGCGCTCCTGCAAAAAGGGTGTGCAAATTTTCAACAGGAAAGCAGGCTCAAAAGCAAAAAGAAATGACTGTACCCGATCGGCGTGGCGACAATTGAAGAGATCAACAGTGCGGAGACGAGCATCAGAAGCCGGCCGCTTGAGACCCCATTGAAGACGTTCCGAGGTGGGTAGCCGGTTGATTTGTGGCGCTGGTGCATCTCGATGCTGCAAAGTCCGGAATAAATCTGATTGTGAGAAGCTACTTACTATCGAGGTAACTCATATTCAGAATTCGTAATTTTTATGCAAAGCACAATTTTTCCGACGCAGGCCAACGCATGAAACGCAAAAAGGACAGTCGCAAAGCTTTTTGAGGGCCTTTGGCCTTGCCCGGCCGCTTCGCATCGTGGTGTACTGGATAGCTAGCTGGGCTGTGGAGCGGACCATCCATGGTTCGATCCCTAGCCGCTGCGAAGTTTTTTTGCTGTTTTGCGAATTGCATTATTTTCAGAAGACTTTTTAATGCGGTGGAGCTATTCTAATTCTTTATATACAAAACCAAAGGTTACCTTCAATCGTTGGTAGAGATTCGGGATGGCTCGACGCGACGGTGGATGTAGCTTCTAATGCAAATCGGAAGTCGCAAGCTTGACCGGGTTGAAGCACGGAGGGAGGGAGCGGCGCCCGGGAGGGAAGTTGTGTGGGAAATGATTCCTTTATTGAGACTAAAAAAGCCTGTACGCCAGCGATTCTGCTTCCGGTATGCAAATTCCGCGGATGTAAAGGCTAAATTTATCGCTTTATTGCAATCACGTTAGCTCGTCCTCTACAGGGTGTCCCAATCAAACACATGCTCCCACTAACTCGACCCAGAAGTACCGGATCGGAACGATCGTTACACCATTCGAAAGCCCTTGAAACAGCGAGTTTGCAACACTTCAAAACCATGTTTTTATGTAAATGCTCTGTTTTACAAGCAATTTTATACAATTCGAGGTCGCATACCAGCTAATTTGTCTTGCCTTTGTCAATTTCTCCAAGCAAAATGACCGGAAATAGCCGTTAATTAGTTGCATAGGCCGCTCCTTAATGTTTTTAAATGCGGTGTTAAATGGCTCGGTTAAATGGTCAGGAAAATTGTTGCAAACTCATCGTTTCAAGGGCTTTCGAATGGTGTAACGATCGTTCCGATCCAATCCTTCTGCTTTGAGTTAGAGGGGCGTTTTTTATCCGCAAACCCTGTATAACCATTATTAATTAATACCAAAACCATGCAATTTTTGCAGTTTACAAAATCAGCGTAGTGGTTTTGTAATAAATAACAATAAATTTGTAACTGCACCAGCATTTTTGTCATCTATCCGTGAGCAAATTTTCAAGCACTTTTGAGGTTCCCCAGTTTCGCGTCATTTATTGCCGCGTAAGAACTTTCGGCCCGTTGAATTTTTGCAGGTCGCAACAATTTGTCAAACGGCTGACCTCAATGGGTTTGGCGGTGTCCATCGGAGGGTGTCGGGGGCCAATCTATTGTCCCGATCTGATTTAGGGCGAACCCTCGGGTTTTAGGAGGGCGGCGAAGCCTGCAAATCTGGCGATCTACGGCGAAGGGCTTTCGGGTGAGTTGAGTCTAATTTTCAACAAACCCAGCGGCCACTTTTCCGATCTTTTGGTTCTGTTCTCGGGTATCTTGCATCGCTAAGTTCTAAATTTTTAGGAGCTTTCACATTATCGGGGGCGGGGGGGACCAACTTTTCTTGTAAGTATCCAATTTTTCTAATATAAATAGAGGCAGTGTTTCTAAACTGGTTTTTGCTATTCCTAAACGCAAAAACTTTGTAAATTGTAGGAGACAGGTTACAAAAAATTCAATTCAAGAATTCAAACATTAAACAAAATCCACAAAATTTAGAAATGTTTGCCCCATTCCATACATTTTCAACGAGAATCAAAAGCTTTCGCATTTTTGCAGACTATTTTTGAACCTACTACATAAAAAACTACAAAATTCGAACTACAAACTACAAAAACTAGATAATCCTGCGAGGCGATAGGCCAAAAGCTAGCCCCACCCCCCTGTTAACAGCAAAGTGCTCACTATTTTATAGCGAAGGAGCCAGACGGCCACGTGTTTTGCTAATCGGGAACGAGCTGGATCGGGAGGAGGAGCGAGAAGTGTCTTTGCAAACTGTCACGGTAACTTCGTTTGGAAGACGATTTCGTTAAAGTTCAATTTTAAAATGTATCAAACACCATTTCAGACATTTGCCGATGCGAATGGCCTTGAACACCTAGAGACGTCTGCAAAAACTGACGCAAATATCGTCGAGGTAAAGCTGCTCTAAAACTTAAAACCCGTTTCGTTTAGACGTTCGAAAAGCTTGCCCACGAAATGGTCCCGGATTCATTCTGGAGCCAACCGGATGTCATCCGACTCGATGCAATGAACACGTCCCAAATTGAGAGCAGCTATTGGGACCTGCTAAACCCAGCCGCGTACTGTTCATACTTGTAGTAATAAATGCATTTTGGCTCGTACGGCTCGAATAGGATGCTCACTAACAAAAATCCAAAGGGATTGCGAAGACTTGCAAAATTCTTGTTTTAAAGGCGCCTGTAACTGCCAATAATAGAGTTCAAGCCCCAGAACCGGAGACCTGAGCCCGGCCTTATCTATTCCGGGAATATTCCGGGAACGCCTCTTATCATTCCCGGAATCTCCCTGAATCTCCCGGAATTAATTCCGGGAATGATTCCGGGAATCGATTCCCGGAATGCGTTTTCATCTATTCCGGGAATCCCGGAATAGTTTACCGCAATGCTATTCCGGTAACCCATTCCGGGAATCGCTTCCCGGAATCATTTTCATCTATTCCGGGAATTTTAGGCAAATTCCCGGAATGTCATTCCGGGAATTATTTTGTGAAGGCTGGGCCTACCCGACCAAATGGTCGGGTAACCATTCCGGGGCATCTAGGTGAAACACTACCAAAATTGCTGAAATTTTTGCAGAAGCTGAAAGACGGCTTAATCAGCTATTATTTAAAATTTCAGACTAATCGGGTAGCTCCTAGCGAAGTTATAGAGCGTTTTAAAAATCGAAAAATTCAAATCTCTATTGCTCGGCAAAATGCGTTTGGTTAGCTCTTTATACAAATACTAGAATTTTTTTCCTTTTAATCATAACCTTTTTGACTTCAAACAATTTTCGAGTATTTGAATTCCGGGAATGTGCTGATATTCCCGGAATAGATGAAAACAATACCGGGAATGCATTCCGGGAATCGGGAAAGATATTCCCGGAATCACTTTCATCGAATTCCGGAAATCTATTCCGGTAACTGTTCCCGGAATACATTCCCGGAATTAGATGAAAACGATTCCGGGAATTTTTTTACCGATTCCCGGAATGCTTACCGCAATGATTCCCGGAATAGGTTACCGGAATGATTCCCGCAATAGATCGGGCCGGGCTCTGTACGCGGTGGCGATTTCGCAGAAATCTTGAAAATCGGTGCTTGAAAGAAAAGGTGGAAACCTTGGTAATTTAGGGCCAAAAAAATCCGTTTTTGTCTTAAAATGCATTTTTTTTGATTCCGTGGGATAGTTTTGGCTCGGATAGTTTTGGCTCGGATAGTTTTGGCTCGGATAGTTTTGGCTCGGATAGTTTTGGCTCGGATAGTTTTGGCTCGGATAGTTTTGGCTCGGATAGTTTTGGCTCGGATAGTTTTGGCTCGGATAGTTTTGGCTCGGATAGTTTTGGCTCGGATATTTTCGGCTTGGATAGACCAATAGAAATGCGTATAAGAAGGTCGAAAATTTGGCAATTTAGGGTAAAAAAAATTCGTTTTTCGACTTAAAATGCATTTTTTGATTCCGTGGGATAGTTTTGGCTCGGATAGTTTTGGCTCGGATAGTTTCGGCTCGGATAGTTATATTTTTTGGGAAATCCAAAACCATCTCCAGATCATCGTGGTCAACTCCTTGCCGGGCGTCATCAGCGACGAGCAATTTCGGGTCCCGGGTTCCCGGGAACGGAATGCAGAGCGGAATTTCCGGTCTGCATTTTGTGTTACGTGGATGGAAAGTACCCTAAAACCTCGTGTATAGGTCCGGTACAATTTGGTTCCGTACCAATACAAATGACACCAAATAATGTGCGTAGGGTACAATTCGGCCCAAAAGCTATGTAAGCCAAAAGAGCCGGTTCTCAGGGCCTCATGCAGCAATTTCGTTCATTAAACCACTCAAATTGTTGGAAATAGTCGAAATACGAACAAATATTCCATCAAAATTGCAAAAATACCATTCGTGAGCGGCGTTATTTGCAAGAAACCGAAAAAACGAAACACACCTAATGACGGTCATACGGAATTACGGACGCTCCGTACACATGAAAATTTTCACCCGGAACTATACACGGGGCGGACCTATACACGAGGTTTTAGGGTACTAAGAATTTCTGACTCAAAGAAAAAGTCGTTTCCCTCCCATTTAGCCTTCGCCCCAAAAGAACCAATTTTTATATGTCTGTTTTCATGTTTTGCTGGTTCATTATTACAATGTTTTGAAGGACCGTCGATCTCCAGATGCTGAAATTGCCTCAGGACGGCCGTGCTGGACCGACTATAGCCCGAGGAGCTGATCATGCTTCATCGTAGGACTAAGGAATTTAGGTAAATCTTACCTTTTGTGGAATTTAGAGAGTTCTAAATCAGTTGCTGTATAAAATTTTGAGATCCTCAAAACCAGCTGGCTTTAGGCAACGAATTGGTCGTCGTGGCTTTTTGCCGGGCCGCGTTCAAGCCCTACACATCCATGGCCGGACCGTCGCGAAAGTGAAAAAGAATGAAAAGGTGGCGTATCTGAATTTTGAATTGCATGTAAAATCTTGCTTTACACTACATTACGGTGGTTCAGCATGTGATTCGTCGCGTCGCTTATTTTACGGAGAACAGCCAGAAATTGCTCTATTCCACGGTCAATTAATGTTCTATTAAAAGGCTTGATAGAGCTAATATTCTCGAATGCATTTCGAAAGATGCTGCGACAAGCCGGGAAACGTTTGTCCAAATAGTCGATGGCGGGCGGGACATTTTTTCTAATAAAAACAGAGAGTCGAGGCTTGCTATTTTGAGACGCGGTT